TTCCATCTCGTATATTGGTCTTGTTAAAGTAAAAATAATACATACAGAAAGGTTTAGCAAGAATCGTATATAAGGTAGGATATTCTATTTTCGAAACTTGCTTTGCTAATAATTTTTTAACAATATTAAATAATGAGCAACGGCTAACTTCTTGAATAAACCTAGTCGATTTGTATTGTTTTTTTCAGTAAGAAAGTCTTATATTTTACTTTGTATATTTCATTTCTTTGTACTTAACTTTTTTCATTTTCATACGTTTTTTCAATAAAGGTCTTTTTATAACTCTCTTTTCATATTTTGCCTAAATAGTACTTGCCGTACTATGCAATGCTTAAGATAAATATTATAAATAAACATTGGTTACATTGAATAGAATTTTTTTTTCGAACGAATTTTAATTCTTACTTCTTCACGTGTGTTTCTTAATAAATCTAAAAATTTTGCAAATTTCTCCGAACGATGTAAAAGAATCACAACTTAAATACGAAATACACCGGAAAAGATCGATTTTATCGTTCAAAAAAAGTTTAAATCTTATGATGTTTTTATGACAATGTTGTTCAGAAAGATCCAGAACATGTGAAAAAAATGAAATAATTTTATGAAAAAATCGAAAGTAGAACAGATTTGATTATTAAAAATTGCACTAAGTACCTTCATTTTTGCAAAATTAACATGCTGTTAATGCAATATTATTCGTGACGTTACGAAATTTACTTCATACTGTTATGGAAAATTATCTATACTTTCTATCGGTAACGAAATTTACTTCATACTATTATAGAAAATTATCTATATTTTCTATCGGTAAGTAAAAGGCACGAACATATATGAACATAGACTTATTGAAGACAGCCGCATTTTTCTATATATTTGACGTCGCGATAAGAGTTATTGTGCCACATAATATAGATGATTTTTATTTCATACACTAAAAATATATCAATTGTACATTATTTATATTAAATTTCAAGTAATTCCATTGAAAAATGTAGAAGTTATAAGCAAATGACCGAAAAATAACACATTCGCCCCACTGTGCGACGGGCTCGTGACTCTCTCTCAGCTGTTGTTGTTTTCTTCTATCGATTTTCCGTCATTCAGACAATCATCCTTCAGTTGTTAAAATCGGTACCAGATGCCTAAGGCTCGTGGACAACGGACGCTGCCACAAACCTTGTGGCTCGGACACAACAATATTTTAATCAACAGAAGATTTAGGAATTACATTGACAAAGTAACGACATACCCCGGCGTTAACCAATATATTAGGTTGTCTAAAAAGTATTGACCCTTTCGAGGTCAAAATTGAGAATATACTTATTGTTATTTGAAAATAACATCATGAAACCACATATGCATCATTTTGTTCGATGATCTTCTGTCATTTTTCCGGCATCACCATAATCCCGTCGCTATAGAACTTCTGTGGTTTTTGGTCAAAAAATTGTGACACGTGGTTTTCATAGACCTCTTTAGAAACTAACTTAACATCTTTCAAGGAGTTCTGCAGAAACCGAAACAAATGATAGTCTGACGATGCCAGGTCCGGGCTATACGGTGGATGCATTAAAACCTCCCAGCCAAGTTCTCTCAATTTCTGACGGGTCGTTAAAGATGTATGCGGTCTGACGTTGTCAGCGTGGTATACAACACTCTTTCTATTGACCAGTTCCAGTCGTTTCTTTTAAATTGCTAGGTGTAATCGCGCTAATTATCGACAGTACAGGTTCGAATATATCGTTCTGCTTGGCGGCAGCAACTCATGATGCACGATTCCTTTCAAATCCCACCAAATACACAGCATAACCTTGCTGGGCGTCAGTGTGAGCTTTGCCACAGACTGTGGAGCTTCTCCTCGCTTCGACTACGATCTTTTTCGCACAATGTTGTCGTAGATTATTTTTCATCACTCTTTCATCACTCCACTTTTCATCACTCGTGATAAACCGCTTCAGAAATGGTTCGATTTCGTTACGTTTCAATAGAGATTCGCAGATAGAAATTCGATCGAGTAAATTTTTTTGAGTCAGATCATGTGGCACCCAAACATCGAGCTTCTTTTTGTAGCCAGCTTTCTCCAAATGGTTTAACACTGTTTGGCGATGGATGTTTAGGTCATTGGCAATGTCATGACTGCTTACATGTCGGTCTTGCTCGACTTTTGCCAGAATATCATCCACTTTTTCTGTGATTGGTCGCCCACCGCGAGGAGCATCTTGGACATCGAAATTTCCAGAACGAAAGCGACTGAACCATCATCTTTTAGCTGTTGCTTTTGATAACGTATCTTGCCCATTAACAGCACAAATTTCTTCAGGGGCCTGCGCAGCATTTGCGCCTTTATCGAAATAAAATTGTAAAATTTAGCGCAGTTTTGCGGAAAGTTCACTCATTTTCACGGCATAATTCCTTACATCTGATTATAAGAATTCCAACACTTTTTATATGTCTACTAGCTTCAACTGTCAGCTGTCAAATGACGTTAGGCCTGACCTGCTGCAACTCATATTCTCTGAGATTTGAGACACTAACGCTATCTCGTACGCAAAAGGTTCAATACTTTTTAGACAACCTGATAATATGGTATTATATTGGTACAGATTACAACCCTTTAGTCGCAAACACCAACATTAAATTAAAAAAATTGGAAAAAAAACACGGCAGACTAGATTTGATATAATAGAAACAGAAAGGGAAGCAGTAGACAAGGACTTGAATAACAACTTAAAACGAAGGACACCGCCGCAGATAACATCAATGTCATGCGGAATTCATTTAGAGGAAAAATTCAGGAAGTGATAGACAAATATACAAGACCTACTAGACGAAGAAAGAAGCAGTGGATGACCGATGAAATATTAACTCTTATGGAAAAAAGAAGAAAACAAAAACAATATAACGAAAAACACAAACATACAGAGAGATATCAAAGAGAAAATCCGGGAGGCTAAGGAGAAATGGATGGCGGGCCGTTGCGGAGAGCTTGAGTGGTTCGAGACAAAACACATGTTCAATATACACAAAAATGCTAGAGAAGTTGCTGGCTTATATAATAAGAAAATACCCAACAAATTAACGGATTACACAGGCAGGATGATCATAGAAGAACAGGAAATACTTGGAGCAAGGAGAAGATATATTACACAGCTCTTCGAAGACAACAGACCAGAGGAAAGCGAGGTTGATTACATGCGAATGAGGGCCCAGACATTCTGAAAGATGAAGTATTTAAGACTGTTCGTTCTGCAAAAACTAGGAAAGTAACCGGATCCGATGGCATACCAGCAGAGATCCTACAAATGATACACAACATTGATATCCTAATTAAGCTTTTCAACAACATATACATTAGTGGCGTAATACCGGAGGGGTGGCTGAAGTCGATCTTCATAACAATATCCAAAAAACAACGATCTCAAAAGTGCAGAAATTATAGACTGATAAGCCTCATGAGCCATACTTTAAAGATTTTTTGTTATGTAGCATACTATTATATACATACATAACAGAATACGCAACAAATGCGAAAATGACCTGGATGAAACTCAATTTGGTTTCAGAAACGCCCTAGGCACCAGAGAGGCAACTTTTGCTCTAAGCATACTTCTTCAGAAGTGTTGCAATAAACGTAAAGACAGTTTTGTATACTTCATAGACTATGAGAAACCATTCGACAGAGTAAAACATGAAAAACTTATCTAAATATTAAGAAGTGCTGGAATAAACGACAGAGACAAAGACATCATTAAGAACCTGTACTGGCAACAGAACACAATGGTCAGAGTCGATGGCGGATCAACCGATGAATGTCGGATCCAATGAGGCGTCAGACAAGGATGTATACTATCGTCGCTACTGTTTAACTTATACTCGGACAAAACATTTAAAGAAACGCTGCACAACTAGAAGATCGGTGTTAAAATAAATGGAGAACTGGTCACCACCATTCGTTACGCTGATGACACTGCGATTTTATGTGTCTGCAAGGTCTACAGCAACAGCTGAACTCTATCGATCATGTAGGACGAGACATGGACTTAAACATAAATGTCGCGAAAACAAAATACATGGTTTTCAGCCGTCAACCTATATTGACGCTACGCTAGAATAAATACGAGATACGTAGATAGATACGTAGATAATATGTAAGATAGAGTGTGACCTAAATCATGAAAGGAGAGCGTATTAAGTGGCGACGCAACCTGCATCTTTATTTTCGTTCTGAAGAGAGAAAAATTTCGAGAGCGCGGTAGTCGCTAGACGGGGAATCAAACTCGGGTCTTTCACTTGCCGGACGACTGCTCTAAACTACTGAGCTACCTGACGCTCCACGCTCACGACACTCTCCTCTCCCTAGATAACGTTAAGAGATGTCGTTCGGAAGCGACATCTCTGGTGCTATCTCGAGCGTACGGCGACTACAGAGAGAGGCATTGTTACTTGTACCTAGTGGTACAAGCTGGAGGTCTCTCAAAGTCAAAGGTTGCTATCCTTTAAGACCTAAATACGTAGATAGAGTATGGAGAGAGTCCCCTACTTTAAATATTTAGGATGTTATATCACCGAACACCTAGACCCAGATAAAGAAATTAAGTGTAAGATAGAAATCGTCCAAATAATATTCCAAAAGATGAAGTCACTTTTCTGTAATAATGACCTGAACCTAAAAATTCGCCAAAGAATGGTCAAGTGCTACATCTGGGCGATATTACTGTATTATACTGAGACCTGGATACTAAAGACCGCAATGATTAATCCTTTAGAGGCTTTTGAAATGTGGCTTCATAGGAGCATGCTCAGAATACTGTGGACTGCTATGCAGACTAATGAACGAATCTTAAGCAAGGCTAAAGTCATCCGTAAATTATTGATAACAATCAAACGCAGAAAGCTGTCGTATCTTTGCCATGTACTTAGAAGAGAGAGATACCGAATTCTTAAACTTATAATGAAGGGCAAGATTGAGGGCCGCAGAGGTGTTAGCAGTAAACAGATACCTTGACTAAGGAGTATACGGAGGTGGACTAGAATACACAGTGCTGAACAACTGTTCAGACTAGCCGAAGACCGTGCACTATTCGCCAAAGTGATTGCCAACGTCGGGAGGACCTCATAAGGCACTGCAAGAAGAAGTCACTCTTGAAACTGTCATACTGGATCTGATTTTGAAATTTTGACTCTGGGTTTATCAGCAAACCAAAAAACCATTTAAAGAAATTCTTTAGATACAAAAGATTTCATACAAAATCAAAAGGGGCTATGAATTTGAATAAATATTCTTAAAAAACTGAAAAATTGAAAGTATTTATACATAAAAGGGGCCCCTTCCCCGATTTAATTTATTTTTAAATATGTTGTTGGCGGAATCTTTCTGAGTCGTTTCATATACATATACTAGGTGCGCAACTAAGTTTCCGGGTTTCACACATGGATGGCGCTAACGACACATATAGTCGACATACATGTCTGAAGTTGTGTTTTTTTATAGCTTGGACATCTGTTAACAATAACCAGTCGTAATACCAACACATACCGCAACGTAAAAATATTTTTTCTAACAACGAAGATGTCGAGTTTTGTGCCAAATAAACAGCATTTGCGGGAAGCTTTATTTTTCTGCTTTAACTTGAAAGAAAAGTGCAGCTGAAGTACGTCGTTTACTGGAAGAGGCCTACAGCGAACATGCACCATCGAAAACTACCTGTGAAGATTGGTTTAAACGTTTCAGAAGTGGCGATTTCGACACTGAGGACAAGGAGCACTCCGGAAGACCAAAAACAATTGAGGACGCCAATCTGCAAGCGTTATTGGATGAAGATGATACGCAAACACGAGATCAACTTGCGGAGGCATTAAACATGACTCGCCAAGGTATTTCCAAATGTTTACATACCATGGGAAAAATTCAAAAGGAAGGAAAATGGGTGCCGCATGAGTTGACTGAGAGACAGATGGAAAATCGAAGAGCCACTTTCGAAATTTTGCTTTTGCGACATGAAAGAAAGAGTTTCCTGCATCGAATTGTTACTGGCGATGAGAAGTGGATATATTTCGAGAATCCCAAACGCAAAAAATCGTGGTTTTCTCCTGGCGAAGCATCAACATCGACGGCACGGCCAAATCGCTTCGGAAAGAAGACAATGTTCTGCGTTTGGTGGGACCAGAAAGGAATCGTATATTATGAGCTGCTGAAAAAAAGCCGGGCGAAACTGTCAATAGGCATCGCTACCGACAACAACTGATCAATTTGAACCATGCATTGCTCAAAAAACGGCCAGAATGGGACACGAGACACGAACGAGTGATATTGCAACACGACAACGCTCTGTGCCATCGCACTTCCATCGTCCAGGACACCACCAAAACGCTGAAATGGGATCTGCTACCGCACCCGCCGTATTCACCAGACCTGGCCCCTTTCGATTATCACTTGTTCCGGTCGATGGCGCATGGCTTGGCTGGGCAACACTTGGCCAATTTCGAAGAAGTGCAAAATTGGTTGGATGAATTGTTTTGGTCCAAAGACGCGTTGTTTTATCGTCTCGGTATTCATGTATTGCCAGAGAGATGGCAAAAATGTGTAGCTAGCGAGGGACGATACTTTGATAAACCATTTTTTGTATTTCTCTTGAAATTTTCAATTTTTCATTGATCAAAAAAACCCGGAAACTTAGTTGCGCACCTAGTATAAGGGTCGGACGCAAATAGCTTCGGAGATACAAGTTGAGAAAGGATAGAAATTCGTGTAGTTTCATTATTCTTCACGTTCCGAAAACTGTATGATGAGACGGTCTCTAACAAGGAGATGACGCAACCATCGATTTCAACACGAGTCATAGCATACTCGATAGCTATGATGCCGTGTATAAACGCCCTAACATAATATGCGTGAATGCGTCTTTGTTTACGAGTAATTTGCAGTTAAAGTTTGGCTCGCGGAGCCGTGCCACACATAGGACGCAAGTTACGACACTCTTTCACGAAGCGGCGTGGCTGAGCAGACAGAGGCTCCCGCGCCGCGAACACTGCGCCGACGACGGCGTTCGAGTCCCGCCGACGACTGGTTCGTTTTTTTTTCGTATGTAAAGACATGTAAAATATTTTTATATTGTTCTTATGTATAATTCCTTTTTTTGTTTCTACGCTATTAATCAAGGCTAATTAGGAGAGTTAGGTCTTTCAAATATGAACACAACTTTTTTATTAATTATAATAAAATGTTTTTGTCCGTATCAAAACACACACACACACACACACACAAGACAAATATAAGGCACACAAATGAAAGTTACGTATTATAAAATGTGGTCATGCAGTCGCAATTCTGCGGATGGAATGCCGTATAAAAGTATGTAAAACATAATAGTTTTTTGCACCAACTGCACGTAATGAACGCATCATTTTTTGCACAAATACACTTTTGACTATGTATAGTTGGTGGAAAACATATTTGATTGACGTTGTAAAATACCTCGCGACTGTCAACAAGACTGGATGCATACCACGCATATTGGAGCATAAAATTGAAAACTGGTGCTGATAACAGATAGTGTGTGAGCGATTGTATACGAATCGCATCAGCGCGAGTGTTCAAATTTATACTTTCGTCGCCGGTATATAAAGGACAGTTCTGTATATACGCTTTATAATGATTTTGACCTGTCTATAGAAATAAACATCGCACGGTTGACAAATTGGCGTACATTTTGGTGGTATTATTTGTAGGTTACACGTTGGCCTATTGTTATTATCGCGAAATATTTCTTTATACATATGGATATTCTTTTGTCCTCCCCAAGAATCAACAAGAGATAAAAACTGATGATTACCAACGTACAGCTTGAGAACCAGTTTCAAATATTGCTGGTAGAGAGACGTTGTTAATTTCCCTGATTTGGAGCAGACTGGAACAACATTTTTACATAATAGCAATAACGCATCTACCTCTTTCTGTACCCGGACTCCAAATGTGTCGGAAGTCTCTTGTAAGCAAACAAACACTTTATTTAATAGCTTGCCCGATTGTGTGACAGAATATTGTGCAGTATAAGAGTGAGTCACTTTGTTTAGATCGCCGATATATAATTGTACGAATTTTTCGTCAGTATGCGTGTACGTTCGTGCAACATTTACGCGATATTCGCAGCCCGTTTGGTCAGAATTTATTATGAAATCCAGGTCGTAATCCGGTGATATACTTCTAATTAATTCTTGAAAGTGTACAGCGGATTCCATCACAGCTTGCGGTGATATTATTTCTCTTTTTGATAAATACCGAACAACTCGACGGTTAGAAATTTTGTATTCACATAGAAATGACGTTAACCATGTGTTCGATGCTACAAAGCGGAAAGCTTTGTCATGTTCTTCGCTTTCTTCTCCTTGTTTGTTATATTGAACGGCTGCAGCCATCGCCCACTGTTGAAGGAGACGTCGTGTAACAAGTTGCCTTTGCTCTCTTGCTTCCGTAAACCGATCACACACATTCCGTTTTATTAATTGCAGCTTATCCCAATAATTTCCACCAGATAAAATGTATTTGCGGAAGCGTGCAACTTCACTGTGATAATGCAAATGCTGTTTAAACTTGCTTTGTAACGTACGGAAGCTCCAATTCGGATGTTCGTTTGCGGTCATAACTATTTTCAATTTTACGTTATACGACACTAGATCCATCGCTGCAACTTTTTGCGGAGGTTCGTAGTCTTCCGTTCTTTGATTCGTATGAGGCTTGTCCGGAGAAGACTCTTCCGTTCTTTGACTCGTATGAGGCCCGTCCGAAGAAGACGATTGAACATCTTCCATCGCGTCTTCTTCAATCACGTCTTCTCCTTCTGCTATATAATATTCCACCTCATCTGATATTTTATGTTTTCCCAACAGTTTAATTAATTTTTCAAACGATTTTCCGCCAATTAATTTGGAATTTTTTGATAATTTTCTTGGCGCTTCATTATTAATTAAATTAAATTGTATCAGGACATCTGCAAATATGAATTCAATATAATTGATATTGTATACAAGGCCAATAACAATACGTACAAATATATCTTTCCATTGCTCACACATTCAACATATTTACCTCGAAGATATTCTATTGCGTCCGTCAACTCTTCTTTTGTAATATCACATTTTGCTAGATTTTGCACATAGCTGATCGTTGCTTCATCTACAAACGTGGTTTCCATTTTTAACACGAGTTTTTCACTGTTCACGTTACGAAGACTGCCCAGAGAATGAAGCGAGTACGTCACAAAACATGAGAATCCCTCTGCGAGAAGGGGAAAGGGAAGAGGGTTCCTTTCCACTTGTAACGGTTCTAACGGCTCTCGGATTTCTCTCACACAAAATAATCACTGTCTGGCCATTTCTTTCCCATACCATACGAAATATTTATGCGAAATAGATTTACACGAAAAAAACATTTTATTGTAATTAATAAAAAAGTTGTGTTCATATTTGAAAGACCTGACTCTCCTAATTAGCCCTGATTAATAGCGTAGAAACAAAAAAAGGAATTATACATAAGAACAATATAAAAATATTTTACATGTCTTTACATACGAAAAAAAAAAACGAACCAGTCGTCGGCAGGACTCGAACGCCGTTGTCGACGCAAAAGTGTTCGCGGCGCGGGAGCCTCTATCTGCTCAGCCACGCCGTTTCGTGAAAGAGTGTCGTAACTTGCGCCCTATGTGTGGCACGGATCCGCGAGCCAAACTTTAACTGCAAATTACTCGTAAACAAAGACGCATTCACGCATATTATGTTAGGGCGTTTATATACAGCATCATAGCTATCGAGTGTGCTATGACTCGTATTGAAATCGATGAAACAGGTTGCGTCACCTCCTTGTAAGTGAATGCTGAATGTTCTTTGTCAAAAATATATGAAGAAATTCAATCATAAACAAACCAATAGAGTCATTTTGAAAACATAAACAAACAGGCTCCCCCACTTGCACTTCCCCTTGACGGATGAAACTCGCTTCATATGAAAAGTCGTATTGTTCTGTGTCACATAAGTTTGCGATTTTCCACGTAACGCAAGTTCGACCAAACGAGGAGGGTGCGGGTGGGAGGGCCGAAGGCTCCCCCACACCTCCCCTTCGGTGTATGTG